GCATTCATGGTTCAAGGTGACATTCTGAACATTAACTAACAGAACTCAAGCTCATATTATATAAGGGTGGGATGCTAAAGAACATGTTTGGAATCTTTGTTTTCCATAATCAGTCTATGCATGAGATCAGCATTTCCAAATAACTTTACTAACAACTAGATTTGTTCTTATAAATGTTTTTCTCTCAATAGCCAGTGTCATTATTCCACTAAACCTTCCAAGATGAGGCTGTATCCCTAACAACCTGGAACTGACAGTGAAGGCTATTACAAGCTCTCTGGTATCAGATGTGTCTAAGTTTATGAGCTTAAGAGTCTTAGAAAATCATCCTCTTTTCAGCACAGAGACCTGCTGAAATAAACTTTCTGGAAAGAATACCCATCTCAAAAATATTACTAACGTAGTTGAAGAGATTATAGGAACACACCACAAACAGCCAAGACTGAAAATATCACCCAACAAAACTATCCACATGAGGATTAAAAAAAAAAAAAAATATTTTCTTCGTATGGACAAACCAGGTGGTATCATCAACATTTGGTCTCAGCTGTGATAACACCATTAATGATGACACTCCTCTGATAATCTTCACACTACTACCTAACATTCTCCACACTGAAAGCAAACAGGAGACACAATTACAGAATTTATTTGTTAATGTTGCCTCTGTAAGTTTGCCACTGTAACTGAGAAACATACCATAAGCATCTGAAGTGACAAATCACCTCTGTTAGTAAATAGAGTCTCCTCTGGAGAGCACACATTGTATTTTTTCATTGAAAGTAGACATTCAAGAACAAACACTGACTACCTTTTTTGCTTAACACAGAATCCACACAGGCTAATGCCCCTTGAAGGCTTATCCTGAGTTACTAGTATGCAGCTTCTAGGAAGTCTGCCTCTAAAACAGGAGCAATGGTCAAGAACTGGGCCTAGAAGCCCCTTATTCTATAAAGTGGCATTGCACTAACCATACTGTTTTTATTATATACAGCATTCTCTGCATACAATGTAAGAGGAAATGGCTTCGCAAACAACTAGGTCTGCTACAGCACACTGCTGTAGAGGTTCCTGACTTCAGAATGATTTCTGCTTGACAAACTGAGATGTCTGACCTCCAAAGGCCAAACACGGTGGGCATGAGCTCCGCCTGACAAACAAGCATGGAAGTAGGAGACAGCTTGCTCTTTGTCTAACTCGCTCACAGAAGGTTACAATTTGAAGCCAAATTTGAAGAAATCCTTCCTTGAAAGAAAATAGAACTCCAAGACTGAGCTGAATGTTCAGCAAATTATTAAATGTTGCCAGCCCTGCTGAAATGAAAACTTTCTTCTTGAAGACCAAAACAAAAGAAACTTACACACTGGGAAGCAGAGAGAGCCCAAAATCTTTAGAAGAAAGACGACAGATAAAAATTGGAACCACAGAGGAGGATATTCCTCTGTGGCCCATGACTGGCAGATCTCGTTTCACCTCCAATTCTAAAAGCAGCCTGAGGTCTTCCTTTACTAAAGCCTTACATGGCAGTAGAATGAAGACTAGATCCATTAGTTATAAACTAAAAGGCATATATAAAACCAAACCAAAACAAAACCTTCAAACTGTGCTTTCAAAAAGTTCTTAAAACTATTCTATGTATACTACTGATAAGAGTAAGAAATCAGTTTCTCATAATTTTCTTATTTGAATTACACAAAATCAGCATCTCTTACTTACAGACAGCCTTCCTTTCTAGGGGTTTTGGGTTGTTTTGTTTTACCATCACTGTCTTGGCAAAGAGAGGTACAGCTAAATTTCGTGAGCCTCTCTACTTAGATTCTAGAAACATTCTGTCCTCGTTTTGCTTCTGTACTATATGCATATCTCTGAATAAGTTGTAATGTCCTCTATCAACTAATTAGCTTTTATATTCTATTATTTCTGAAAAGCAACAAAAATGTTATGAACACGTACTGCTTTTTTGTTCTTGCTACTGTTACGTATACAAAGCAATGAAAGGGAGAATTGAATCTTTCTTCTTCTGCATCAACAGATCATTTAATAAATTCCAGTGCAGCTACAGTTGTGCAACCCTATTAAACACAATGGAGTTATAGAGGCATAACCAGAGGCTTAATTTGGCTACCAGCATTTTTCTTACTCATGCTAGAAAATAAAAAGGAAAGCACTCAGCCTGATTTCAGGCTGACAGGAGAGAAATGCATCTTTTTACCTTCCTGAAGATTCTTGTTATGGAAGCATGTGTTTTCTGAGTCACCAGTAATACATGAATGTAATAGAGCTCAAGTTCTATTGACTGACGCAGTGGCAACCAAACCTTCCGGCTGTATACGTCACTTTTCAACGTCAGGACAGTCCTGTACTCCCACAAGTTCTGAATTTAGTGCACATAAATAGCGACTATCTTGCATACAAGGAGCACATTTGATGGTTTCTGAATGACTGAGGCTGACTGAATATACACAAACTGAAAATCCAACATTTGCAGAAGTCTCAGCTATGCAACACCCGTGCCAAAAGAATACACTGCTTGTGCACACAGTTATAACCCACTTGCGCTTCCGTTGCCCAGAGGGAAGCTGAGCAGCACCACCTCAATCACCACTCCACTGGTGGCTATCACCTTGCCTGGACAATCTTCACCTTTCCTTTCCTTACATGATCATCATCAAATCACAAAATGACAGGGAGAGACTAGTGGGACTTCAAGTAACAGCTGAGCAGTCTACAACTACATTCACTTTTCTGACGGGCTGCAGATGGAGAATGCCCAATTCAGGTCTTATGCACGTATACAGGAAGATATTACTGTATCTCTTAGAAGCTGTTTTTGAACAAACAAGTATGTCTATTTTGACAGCTGGCAAACTAGAGCAAGGAGGATTTCCAGTATGACTAGAAAAAGGTGAGATGCAAACCAAACCTGGATGTGCTTATCAATATCCCACAGTTCAATCACAGGCTATGGTTCCATGTTGAGAAACCAAGCAAATTTGAATATCATTTCCATTAGTATTTAAAAACACGATCATATCAGCTATTCAACTTTAGATATTCCATCAGTCTTAGCTCATGGTAAGATGACATACCCATCATGTCTACTTTTCTTAGCAGATAAATCATCTCCTGCTGCAGGTCTCCTCTTTTTCCTTGGAGGCATCACTTTACTAAAGCAGTCTGATGAACTGCAAGACCGGAGACTTCCTACAGAGGGAATTAAAAACACCAGTACAAGAAATGAAACTGTTGCAGACCAGTTAAACTGTGTCCTCTAATAGGCATATTACAAAGGGAAGGGAAGGGAGGAAGTTAGTGGATTTTAAAATTACGAAAGAAATGGCTTCCTTTCAACAGCAAAATCCATCTCACTTTTACATGGTGTTCTATGACCAGATTTCAGTTAAGGCCATAAGTACTATACCATAGTGTACAGTAGTGCTACTGCTATTTCAATCTAACAAAAGGCAAGAACTGAGACTATCCTGAAGAAGTACTTAAGTCGTCAAAAAGGCATCCTTATTTTTAGTCATTTATTCAAATCAGAATTTGTAAGAGTTATTCATTACTTTTTGAAATACAGATGTGACTCAACCAGAGTACCTACCTCTAGAAAACAGAACCTTTTCGTTTTTAAGCCCCAAGTTTTTCATGATGCAGAGAGCAAAGGGTAGGAAAGGTTTTGTTTGTTTGTTCTTCGATTTTGGGGTTTTTTTGTTTGTTTTCTTTCTTTTTGGAGGGGGAAGGGGAAAGACAGATTCAGCAACCACTAGGGGAAAAAATAAGTGGCTGGCTGTATCATTTGGACAGGATCGCTCTCAAAGAATGAAGGTCTCCAAGTAGGAATGAGCCAATTCAAGGCACTAATGACAATCAAGTGGCAGTCTTTCCCTCCCCTTCTCTCCTATGTCTCTGGTGATTCTTCAGTGTGCCAATCCAGCTCACCAAACCTGTAGATAATTAACCCAAGCAAAAAAGAATAACAACTTTCTGTACATTAGCACAAGAAAGAGCACAGGACCAGCCCTTTTGACCACAGCAAGTTGTTAAATTGCCTTTGCTGTCTCATGAAAACAGTAGGCTAACACTGCAGGCAAAATGTTGTCCTGCTTTCATATAATGAAGACCACATGGCCACCTGAGAAAGATGCGTGTAAGAGCAGCTCAAAGAGCTATCAAAGCTCCAAGTGTTATGCACAGAATTTTAAAAGGAAAGGAAGAGAAAGGTGAGGTATAAAAATCCAGATACAAAGCGATGCCAAAGAAACTTGCAAGAAAATACGAAGAACTCCAGCATGCCTAAGCTACCTTCTCTTAGCTTCAACAGTATCCAAGTTTAGCTATGCTTTATTAAGATGCCCACAAAATCTTCTATTTTAAATCACAGCACGGAAGCAAGCAGTAAAACTTTGACTACTTTTGGACACCAAGGGAGCAGACTGAAATCAGAGGCCCAGTTCCCAACAAATACTAACGGCAATCTTTTGCTTACCTATTCTTCGTATCTTTGAAAGTCTCTCTCCTGTTATAGGAGAAACATATGTAAGGAATCTTACAGCCTCATAGGCTTTGCTACATGTACTTTATTTTAAACATGCACTGAAACCATTAATCATATAAAAGTATGGATTTTTCTAGTATTAGGCAAGATGTTTAAACCAGTTTTTACATCAAGATGATCTAATTTGGTTTTAACTAATAAAGCTTTTCCACCTGGGATGCCTTCTTTGGTCGTACCTTTATATTCATTTCTATTAAGAAGAAAATTAATCTCTCCAGTTCAAGAAATACTCTTTCCAATTCAAAAATTCTTCCTATACATTCCTTTTCTCCTCCTCCCCCCGTCCTGCTGCAGCTCCGCCCGCCCCCCCTGCCCCCCAACATCCTCCCAGGAAAGTAAGGCCATACCTACACTATCTTATAGAAAGAAAGTTTTAAGAGTATTGTAAATTCAAATTATAATTTAACTAGTTATCAAAAAACTTCCAAGCATTATACTCAAATGAACTACCATCACATGAAAAAAATTGTAACAGCTGTGTCAGAAGAATGTACTTCTAAAAGTACTGTCCAGAATATGTTACAAAAGGAAATTAACAATAATATTTATCTTCTTCTCACCAACATCAGATATATCTGAAACAGGTAAGTCAGAGACCATCAAAAACTCACAGTATGCCCGATGCATTTTACTACCCAGATTAAACAAACTAAGGAACCTGACTTGCTGAATGTCATTTGTTCCCTCTGATTATGCCTGCAAATTAATGATACCGCAAAATTGTATTCCCCTAAGTCATTGAAAGTGTGATGATTTATGGCTTTTTACATCAAGTTTCTAAAGACTCTGCCAGTAAGTATTTTTTGAAAACCTACACGAACTAAAAACACTTAAGATGACAGTAGAACTTAACAGATGGCTAGAGACAGCCATACTCATACATACACTAAACTTAATAAATGAAAACCTGTGCTAATGAACACCTTGTTTCCGAAAATATGTATGTACTTGAGTACAACCTGTAGCTATCTCATTCCTTTGAGAGCGAATCGATTGTTTTTATATGCCTTTCTATTTAAAAAAAAAAAAAACAAACTATTTATAATGGCCATAGACATTGGATGCTGGTAAAATGAAAGAAGAAACACCAACCACCCCCCAGGGTTTGTCCAGTTTACTCATTATTTGATTGGGAAAAGAAATATGCAAGGCCTCTGTGAAAAGAGAAGCACAGTAAAAGATGAAAATAAAACAAATGAAAACAAATAGAAGTAAAAATAAAACAGTTATAGCACAGGAAAACCATTTTGTCAGATCTGCAACCCCATACAAACCAAAGAATTTAACCCAAGAACTCCTGCTTGAAGTCTTTTCCTTGTTAAATGACAAAAGATTTTGGCTTAAACTGGTAATAGAATTCACTATAACCCAATTTCTCCAATGACTCCTACGAAAAACTTGTACCCTTTCTTGGTTTGAATGTACCTAGTTGCAGCTCTCAAACTGACAGAAAAGGGAAGAGAGAGTTCAGAAACTGGGAAGTGGCTATTGATGCACGTGTACACCCCCCTCACACACAAACACACACACAGATACCAGGTGGACAAACACATGCTTTCAGAGATTTAACATCTTAATAACTGAGGTTTGGACCAAGTCTTCACTATGTCTTAACTGTTGAATGATCTCCAAACTACTAAAAAACACAGTACAAGAATGTTACTTTAAAAGTACTTCCTTTTGTTTCTAGAATCAGTATATTGAATTTGAAGGGTAGTTATAATTTTCCCTGTAACAAACTCTGAAAGTTAAACCAGCTGAACATTTCTATCTTTCATTTCCACCTAAAGCTAAAAACTATCAGAGTTTGGATTTTTTGGTTTAAATTCTTGCAATTTCTTACGTTACAGTACAGTTCACTAAGTACCATCAATATTAACCTTTCCTACATAGAGTCTTCTAATCCTAAATGTAACTTCTAGGTCTAGCCTTTCACAACTAATTTCACTTCCCAAAGGGCTGATCATCTGCAAACGAACATGCAGCTCCCTGTGACTTCATGCAAAGTTTGACAGGAACTTTACTTACCGAGTGCAGCTTCTCTGATGTGATTATCTTCAAAGTTTCCTACTCCTGGGTCTCAACTCAAGACTGGCAGAACCTTCCTAGTTCTCACTGTTCTTTTGACACTTGAAGCTAGCATTTGCAAGGTAGAGCCTCCAAATGGCTGCTGAATAGACCACCATCAGCCAAAAGCCTGCCGAGTATAAGTGTTGTTTGCCAAACGTCCTATTCAGTACTTCCAAATTTGCAGGAGACAAAGCTACCAAAGGGAGAGATCAACTCAAGAGCTAAAATTCACCCTAAGAAATTTAAAACAACATGCAAGATAATCACCACAAGGGAGGGACACTCCTAGAATAGCAACAAAACCAGAACAAATGAAAAAAGAAAAAACAGAGGTCAGTAAGTAAGAATTCTACAAGCTGTGTCCCTACAGAAGTGATTTAGAAACGTGTAATTTTCACCTTCTCTCTAGACAATGCCTGCGAATAATCCTGCTCTTCTGGTGCTTAAGTAGAGAGATGTCTCAAAGGAAAAATAATTAGAAACTGTGAATGCTGAAGCAAGTGGCAAGATATAGCTGCTCCTTTAATGATGCAACAAGACCACCACAAGCACAGTTAACAATCATAATTTTTCAGATACAAGTTGAAAAAACTACGATACTCATCAAAACATCAAACAACTTGCAATCTTGTTGTAAAAGGAAAAATCATCTTCTCTATCTTGAATTCCATAGTACAGAATTGCTTTGGACTCAAGAGGGTTTTCTTCTCTAAAGCAACAAAAAAACAGTAGAGGCAAAAGTAATTTTCTCCCTCTACAAGCTTCAAGAAAAGCAATGAAGCGTTGTTTTTGTTAAAGCCTTGTTTTTTTGAACATGACCACATTCTTTTAAATAAGCCAAGTGACAACAGGAAGTGTACTTTTACCTTTAAAGGCATTTTAGTCTGGATAGGTAAGTCAGTCACAATTTAATAATCAAATCTTGACTTTAAGTCATTAACAAGTTGCTAGATTACATTATGACATAAAACCAACTATTATTTCAAATTCTAGAGACAAGAGTTTTCCAAGTTAATGCATATACATACTAGAAGAAATTGTTCACGGAATCTGAACGCCTGCTTTTCTTACCCCTACAAACAGTTGAAAAGGCAAAGGCCCATGACATATTTACAGTCTACCTTATTTTTCATATATATATGCACACTGAATGCCAGCACATTTTATGAGACTGTAATCATTATAGGTGACTAGATTTTTGAAGCGAGGTCCATCTTAGCTCTCAAATCACTGAAGAAATTCTGAGACTGCCACCCTCTAGCTCTTATATATTTAAGATCTGACTCCAGAAAAGAAATCTGGCTAATACTTAGAAAAGATATAATTTGCTTAAAGGAATTTAGATGTCCAGTACATTTATTGTTAGCTCAGAAACAACTGCTCTGAAATAAATGTAATAAGCATCAAAAGGTCATTATAAATATTAACCTAAAATTGAAATACTCAGTTTTTTTAAATACATTTTAGAAATCGCAACCAAATTTAGATATGCATTTATTAAGTCATCCCAAAGGCAGGGCTCGCCTTGTAATAACATTAACGTGGACAGTTATGTCAAAAAACAAACAGTAATCTTTAAGGATAAAGCCTGGTCCAGAAGATTTAGAGTGTAAAAAAACCCACAAAAATCACAACACCTCAAAATTAAAAAAAAAAAAAAAATAATAATTTTTACATGGGTTTGGCAACACTCAAAGAATCTTTTGCCACACAGTTATTCACATGACTTTCAAATGAGTTCTGGACAGAATCTTAAATACACAGCATCTATGCAGTTCTATAAATTGCGTAGCAAAATTAAGTCTTGACACTTCTTACTACGCAGTCAGTAATACTGGAAAATAGAAGTTCTAAAAATTTAGGCACATCGAAACGAAACAATTTGCAAAAGTAACTCTTTTTAGATTTACATAAGGCTCTCCAGTAAGATGTTTCAGAAGTGTCAAGTTAAAAAATGGACATGGGAGACTTCACTGTACCATATACACAACAGCCAAAACAGCTCCTTGCATGTGTATTTGTCCCCATATGAGGAAAACCAAGCACACATTTCAACTGAATTCGTCTAGAAGTTATGCAAACATTGGAGCTTCACCTTTTTCTACAAGGAGACATGAAAAATGGCAGAAGCATAAGAAATACTGGGATGAAATCTGAAGATGAGGAGCCTGCCAGTATCAACTTCTACTCAAGGTTCTCATTTCATACTTGTTACTGGTTTGAAAGGTTCTTTTACAACTATTGTAAAAGTTATTACACTCTTTACTGAGATTTTGTGCGCAAACTCATTCAATGAGCGTGTCTAAGCTTTTCAAAGAGCTTAATTCAAGCAACACAATGCAGGCAATAGGATAACCATGAGTGTCAGTATAAAGCAGTTCATCAAAACCAGTAACATGCTCAAACACCTTCCAACAGAGATAATGAGAGGTCTGAGGCTAATTTCTTATACTGACCTTTATGACAGAAGTGCTAAGCAAAAGATAAGACAAATTCCAAATACCTCAAGCACGCCTACTCTTACTGATTGATTAGTGACAGAAGGGGACTACCTCAACGCTTCACAACAGCTTTTTGTGATCAAAAGTAAACCAAGATTATGGAATGCATTTTCATATATGAAACCAGTATGTATCTGTGTTTAGTTTGAGCACCTGGACCACAAATGGGAAAATTCCAGGTCTCCATCAGAAGATGGGAGAGGACATCAGTTCTAACATACGGCCAGTAAAACCTCTGACTGTCTTAACTACTTGCCTCAACCTCTTTTGAAGAGGTTTCTAATTTACACGATCAGCTAATTTCAAGTATTAAATCACTAACCACACTGAAAGAAAATATTCAATAGAAGTCTTTTGGGGTTCAGATAAGATAGTTCAACTATGAAACAGTCACCTGTCAGAGTATGAAGGAGGGTACACAAGCCCCAAGTGAGTTCTGTCCAATCCCAAACAATGCAGTCCTATGCATCTCTTCTCATTGCTCTAGGCTAACAGTGTGCTAGATTTATAAGAGTGTCCCAGAAATCTCCAGGAGGAGCTGACAGCTCTCTCTACTTTCTTAAGCTCTCAAAGTAACACCAGCAAACACAGCCAGGACCTCAGGATAGACAAAAACTTTGATACAGATGGTAGGATAGATATGGTCAGTTTTAAAGAACAGTTCTGCTGAGTGATTAGGGCTTGAAGGCAGTAAGTTACTTTCCTTCCTCCTTAGGTACCATGCCTGACACACAGGAAGGAAGGAAAAAAAAGAAATCAAGGAAGATGCCAGCTCATATGTAACAAGCGCAAAAGGAGGTAACAAATGTTGCAAGATAATCAAGTCGCAAAGCACAAATGCTGATGAATCAAGAATGGCAGCAAGCTAGTACCAGGCACCTGAGATGAAGACCTCAAAAAATGATGATGTTTTATTGAACGGAAAACAGACTTGGACTAATAAACAGCCCTTAAACACTGACTGAAAATCTGCACAAGAAACAGGAACAACCTGCATCAAAAGCACTCAAGAAAAAAGATGAGTTGTTTGGAGCACAGCATTTAAACTCGGCCACAGGCACCACAATAGCCACAAGAGGTCTTGCTTCTGCTCTGTTCTCTCTAATGCTCTTTCAAGAGTCAAAACACTGTAAGACCATGGATATTCTGCTAGTCTAACAGGTTGAGTCCAAGGAGTGAGAGGAATTTTTCATGAAGTCTTCTAAAGTACTTACTCTTAAGAAATAGTAAAATGACAGCTACTGCTGAAACCTGTGAGAGTCATTCACAACTGGATAAATTAAGAGAGTGAACATCTATTTTGAAGAAAACTTTAAATGCATCCTGGCACTTGTTTTCTAGAACTCCTTCAGCTTTCTAAAATATAATTTTCAGTGATGTTTGAGAGACTTCTTTGATGAAGTGTGTTTAAATTGTATCAATCTATTTCTACTACATCCCCATTAAATACCTGTCTGGTGATCGTCTTGACCAACGTCCTCTGTCAGATTCTGCAAGAGAGTAGGAATGATACAGTTAAACAGGATAGTGATCTTCATTGTTCTGTAATATTCTCAATCTTTATTTGATATTCATCTTAATTACCTAAGGAACATCTAGTTAAGTCTGCAGAGCCTTTGCATTTTCAGTTCATATTTATCTAAAAAGTTACCCTTGCAAATTTATCTAAAAAGTTCAAGGATTATCTTTAAATAATTTGAAAAATATTTTAGATTTTTTTTACCAAAAACTTAATCTCTGTTTCAAGATTGGAAATAACTATCCACTGAATTTTGCATTGCTGTATTGAACAATTCCATTAATAAATGCAGCATTAGAAAGACTGAATTTACCATTTACCACAGAAATGGCTTTCTTAAGGATAAACACACATATATGTTGTAAAGAAAGCCGATTAAAACCCAACTGAAATCTTGGAAACGAGTTACCCCCTTTTTTAGACACTGTCTTTTCCACTAAGTTTGCAGCATACACACAGAAGCCATATCAGCATTTCCAGCTGTGGTTGCAATAAAACAAATGGAAATGCACAGCAAACATGCAGAGACAGTCTTAAAAAGGGGAAAAAAAAAAAAAAAATCTCATTTCACTCTTTGCATGGTTGTAAGAGGACAGCTTGCTCATTCAACATGTTTTCCACAAGAATTGTAAGAAATTGGGTAACGATGATTACCATTATTTGATATATCTAGGAAAGCTTGTTCTATGGAGACAACATCTAAATCCAGTGGTGCAGTGAACACTGCTTAAACTCCACTCTGACCACCAGAGTATAATCTTTCACCTTTTACTAATGCTGCTTATCTTTTAACAGATTCAAACCGAACAGCCTCTCATACAAAAAGGCAGTCATAGTTCTGAAAAATGTAATCACTTAATAATTTCAATCACAAAACATTCTGGACTAAAGCCCTAGCTATTCTGCTAAGAGAAAACGGCAAGTCATTACCAGCCTATTGAGGGTGTGGTAAATCTTGTGAATATTTGCCAGTGTTGATAGGTGAGAATTCAGTTGAAAATCTGGAGGGAGGGGAAAAAAAAAAACACAACTTTTAAACTCTCTCGATTTCCAGCTGTAGCAACCGAGATCTTCATATGTTCTGGTCGTTTAATAAAATCATCACACGACTATAAAATAAAAGTCATCGCAATACTTTTTCAGCATCAAGATTTTCAACTTCAAACAGAGTAAGTAAGTGAAATCTACAAAAGATATCCTACATATGCATTTTTCTTAAGGTATGGATATCCCTCAGCAAAACAGAACTATAGTTAATTATATCTAAACACAAAAATGTATTAAAAAAATTTAAAAATAAATATTTATAACATTTTTTCCTTTAAGTTGGGAATCATTATAATTCCCATGCTAGCCAGTCCTTCTGTTCCAAAACCTATTTAAGTACCATGTAACATTCTAAAATCATTACTAAAAATGCTAGTTTTTAAAAAACATAATTTTATTAATACACATGTACTTGTCTTTATACTAATTTCCTTGCAAAACTAAGTGACTGGAATACACTTACACAGTTGAAACATTACTTTTGTATAACAAACTAACGGTCACACAATACAGTAGCTGTTAAGATCAGAGCCAATAAAAATGAAACTCAAATATTCAGACACTTCATGAGAGAAGCCATGGCATAGATGTTAATTTTGCTTCCATGCTCCAAAAATAAAACACTCGAGTTTGCTTCAGTTGCAAAAAAGTGACAAACTAATTTTTCTCTATTCTTTTAAATTCCCTATTTTTGCTAGAAATGTGTCGAGGACAAAACTGGAAAATAAGTAATTTACAGAAAAGATCAACTGTGATCCAGCCAGAGAGCATGCAAGCCAACAAGAATCTCAGATGCTGGACACAGACCAGCTAACAGGGATCAAAGATAGCCAACTACTATACAGTATTTCCATTTAAACTAGAAGTAAATTAGCTACTCCACCGGAACTCATGTGCAAAAAACCACTCTAATTAGAGACATGTACTACGTGACACGCAAAGTATTTCAAGCAAAATTCTTCTGTACGTGAAAAGCTGTATGTGCCTAGTGTCACCACCCAGTTAATGCACTAAAGCATTTCTACTGTGAGATATTTAATTTGGCTTTGCCCAGTAGCCAATACAAGATGCAAGTAAGGCTAAAAACATAATTCCCACATTTCCATCCCTAGCATTTCAAATGAATGCTCTCAAAACACACTTCAGATGACCCACAATCTAAGGATAAACAAAAGTCATCATTCAGTATCAGATCCCCAAGTCAGTGAACCACATTGCTATGAAGTTAAAAAGTGGATCTGAAGGAACTGCCTGCTGTAAGTGTGCTTGTTACATACATTGTTATGAAATTGTCTTGTCACAGTGAATAAAAAAAATTCAAAAAAAAAATCAAAATATACCTTTAGGAATCATACATTTAATTTATTCTGTTAGCTAGAGAGTATCTTTTCACTAATTGCTACATGTTTCTTAATGTATTGTCCCCAATCCACCACCACAGCAATACAATTTCCAACTGTAGATATACTTATCTATATGAAGTCAAAGACAATCCAGATCTTCTTACCAAGATACGATAGGAAGATCCTGCATCTTGAACAGTGTGCTAGATTTTTTCCTGTATTAAGTGCTCAATAAAGTTCCATTTTTGCTAGTCAAACAATACTAAGCAGAACCATTCTGCAAAAAAAACAACCCCGAGTTTCTTAGCCAACATTCAATTCAACATAAAGGAATTAAAAACAAAACAAAAAAAAGGGACACACACACACACATATAAAAGCCATTCTGAGAAGGGCAAGATGAAAAGGTAAGATTTCTTTTGTTAACTGCCAGACCAGATTAAGCTTTCTGGAATATGAATTTTAAAATTTCCGTTGTTGCTCAGCTTAAAATCTACAAAGAACATGAGTCTTTAGAGAAACCAGTTATACCTGGAGGTAACAAGCTGAGAACACTAAGAAATTATTTTATTCTAAACTAATATTAAACAATAATTTTGGATGGTACTCTTAAAAACAATAGAAAAATACTTTCAAATTAGGATCATATACATTAAGTATTGCCTTTGAAATAAAACATTACTAGGCACTTAAAAACACATCATTCATACCAGTATGTTTCACACATCCACTGGAAATATCCTTACAATGGTAAACTGTTTCTTCAAAAATAGGATACATAATTACGATGGACTTAGAGGAGTTACACAAATATATTTCACAGCTCTTATACAACAAGCATCACACCTTAGTTCCACAAAGACTGGTTTATCCATATGAATACAGAGGACCAGAGTCCAAAGTTTTCTCTCTTCCACAGGGGAAGCTTGCCAAGCAGGGGTATTATCCAAAACTGAAAACAGGCTTCTTTTACAGTGACTGTTATAAAAGCAAATACGAGCAGCAGCCAATGAATTAGGAAGTTAAATTACAGCTCAGGTCACCCTCTGAACCGGTCACAGTGTTTGCTATATCTATATTCCAAGGAAGACACACAAAGTATCCTATGCCATTGAAAAGGCATATTTTGAAAAAAATGGTTTTTTCAAGAAACAGAATCCAAAAAATAATACCTTCCATACTCAAATAACAACATCTTGAAAATCAGCAAAGGGACAATGCTGGAGTCAGCATGACAAGCAAGCAATCCAACAGGAGGCCAAAACTGTATGCTTCAGGAACACACCCTCTCCCCTCCACGACGCCCCAGTTGTGCCTGCCTGACCCCCTTGGTCAGCCCACTACCCCAGGAATCTTATCCGCAAAAACTATAAACAAACCAATCCTGCCAGCTCAGCAGTCCGAATCAGACCACCAAGGAGATGTAACATCAGATAAGCAAGAGTTAGAGCAAGAAACAAGAAAGGCCCCCCCCCCATAGTAGCAAAATAGTCTTTTGTGGCAGCAGCCACGTGTTACATCAAACCAACTGTCCGTCGAAGCCCCACCGTGATAAGTGCGGTAACATCATGTGAAGCTACACACTCAACGGTTGGTTCTATGAGCTCTACATGATGAAAGCCATCATGTGTGAAGCTATTTTTTACCTGAATACAAGTGTTTCAAAGCACATGGATTGGTGTGAAAATATTCCGAGTTTTTCCTGCAGAAAAAATATTTTATAGCAAAGAACTACACAGTTTATTGACCTGGCAATAGAAGAAGGAAACCTGCTTGCTTCGTGAATACTGAAAAAACATGTGCTGGAAAGTTTGCTACAACTTTAAGAGGTGTATGTCAAACAATCACCTGTATTTTGTTGATTGAATTATTTTTTCATGCAGATGTTAGCTTATCTTTAGCAAGGATTGAAGTAACAGAAATTCCAAATGGTATTAAATACTTTGCAATAGTTCAGAATGTAATGGCTAAAGAAAAAAAAAACAAAACCCTGAGTAAAATAATTGCAAATCCAGAATCCAGAAAGGAAAGAAATGCCAGTGCCAACATAGTATCATGGAGTTTAAATCCTGTCTGCAGTTTACCATTAACATTTAACATTAAGTGTTAAAGTCTGGGTTAGTCAATTAGTCATGATCATATAACAATTTCAAAGTAAAAAGCAAACAGTTGTAAAAAAAAATTTTAAAATATTATAGATTAAGGTTTACACTATGGACCTGACAGTTACGTATAGGCAAAAGAAATAACAGCTAGCTAGGCTTGCTCCCATAACAAACTAGACAAAAAAGGTTCTACACCCTCTCATGAAAACAAACATATGAAATAGAATGAACAAACAAAAAACTCAATGTATCTTAAATATAAACAAATGATACAGGTGAACTGAACTTAAATACTCTACTTTCCTATCTGAAATGAAAAAACTTTAAAGGTCAAGCCTAATTTTTTATTGGAGGGAACAATGCGTTGCCAAGCTATTCAAATGAAACCACAAATGAATACCTAAAAATCCCAAACCAGTACTAAACCAGATCAGCAGCTGATTCCAAGTTTCGTTTAAAAGATTCTAGAATATTTTTCTGAGCAAATAGAAAATCTATACAAAATCTCACAGTAACAGTAGGTCTAAAAATATTTATCCTAGACAGACATAACATGACATATAAATGCTATAGATACAACTCTGTATTAAAAATTTCGTATGGAAGCAGTAGTTATTTTCATTACTGCTAAGATATATCTGACTCAGTACAAATATCATGGGTAATTTTCTGTAACCTTCTCAGGAAAAAAATAGATAGAAACCACATACTAGGCAGACTCATTCCTGAAAATTAAAAATGAAATGTTTATGCTTTTACTTTTATTTAATTGGTTTCCTTGGTTTCAAATAACAGAATAGAGAAAACTTGGAAAAACTTGTAACAGTACTGGAAATAATAGTTCAAAGTACTGTCTTCTTAATTAGTCCTAAATAAATTTTACTTATCCAAAAAAGAATCATTTAATCTTCTATGAACTACACCATTTCACATTCTGTAGCCTACTTACAGAATTGTCCTAACGGTAAGACAATTTATATTGATTAATGAACTTAGACGTTCAGATCTGAAACCTACATTTGGTGAAAGCCTTCAATACTTATGTTCAGGAAGCAGAATTTCTATATTCATCACTAAATGCAGAAACCGAAAGAAAAATGTGCATCAATGTTATTTTAATTCACACAAAAACATCAGAACAGACCTAAAAACTGAGATTCCCAAACTGCAGTACAGAGCAGCTAAGAGCTGACTCTGCGTTCCTGTCAAAGACAGGATTAAGACTTCATTTCCAATGTGCCTGCAGGGGAATCCACACAGGCAGTGACACCCTTTAGCCGGGGCAGTCTGCAGAAGAGACCTCTCTCCCAGCCCCTCATGTGAGAGCACGCATGTGGGCAAGGGGAGGCAGAGAAGAACAAGCTTGAAAAGTAGGGTCTCCTTGATTTGGTGGGGTTGAACACAGGGCATGATTCAGAAAGTAAGGAAAGCAGAAGTCAACTCCAGTGTGGTCAGTAAGGACATGTATTTAAATGGAAAGAGAAGTGGGATGATCCAC